TTATTTTGTTTATTATACTGTCACGCACGTGTAGTATTGCGTTGCGTGTCTTTTTGCGTTATCCGCGACGCACGGAGAAAGTCACGCGTCTGGAAAGAAGAACAGAGCATTCCCATTCTTGTGTCCGTTTCGTAATAACACGATAGGCCATTCGATAACCAGCATCGCACTTGAAATCCATCCAGTTTCCGGAAGGCATTATACCCGCGCCGAATAAAAACTCTTTTCCTAGTCGAAGTCGTGTAATTATATTTGTCAAATAACCACGCGATTCGCAAGATATTTAATTGGCAAGATTTCCTATGCCATTTTTAAAATGGATTTCGTTTAATTTTTATTACAAATTCCAATGGAACGTTTAAACGTTTCTAACGGAGAAACGTTCTGATCGTTCGTAGAAATTGTCTAGAAATATTAACTTTCACTATTTGAACGTACTCTCTCGATAAATCGATCGTCTGTATGATCGTTTTTTTGTCATAAATTCATATTTTGTCCATTATATAAGTATTACGCTCTGAATATTTTTGCAACGACAGCTGTTTTGTACAGAACAAAATCTAAATTTAATGTTACTTTTAAGATACTCGATAATACATCGATTTTATAAATTTTATTCCGCCGAAATAGCAAGCGAGTCGGCAACGACTCGTAACAACAGTAAATCTATTGCTAACAAGTCAGAGGAATTCAATGAAATAAAATCCTCGACCATAAAATGTTCTTCTTCGTGAACATAAGTACTCGAAAAGTGTTACAAACGCGTAAAACTGAAACGCATAAACATAAATCTGTATGTACATTCCGTTCGTACAATAGAGTACAATTTTTACACAGTTCCTTTTTACAGAATTCTGATTGTTCGCCGATCGAATACGTTTCTCGTCGCGCAAAATTCCGACTTCGGCTGATCCTTCCTACGCGATATTTTCTCGTCTCTCCTCTTCATCCTTCCGGCCTTCCTTTAGCTTCCGTTTTGTCACTCGATCTCTCTCGGTCCGAGACACTCGCGCTCGCGCGACCAAGCTATGACGCGATGGCGCGCAACGCAGGGAGCAGGGTGGGTAAAAGGCGCACGTTTTTTCGCCGCGACGTGGGGGGGGGAGGGGGAGGGGACGGACGGTACTACTCGTCGTACGTACGACG